ACCCTTACTTACTACAGCCTTGTAGCACACACATACTGTGTTAGTAATTAGTAATTATCAGTCTGCATGTTATATTAATGATGCTGTTGTATATTGTTTATAAGAGCGGTGAAGACACAGCTGCCCCTCCATTTAATGGCAATGCTGACCAGACTGAGGAAGACTCAAGCCAAGACGAAACAGAGGAACAAACTGTAGAAGCTTTACAAGAACAGCTTTGTGAAAAAGATAGAGAGATCCAGGTGTTGAGAGAGATCCTCGCAATGTCACACATAGGTCAAAACCCTGAGCCCTCACAACCAGAACAGAGGGCCCAGAATGACATCGTCATCCTCATTGACTCCAATGGAAGATTTATACGTGAGAAGAAACTTTTCCCCAGGGACAAAGTGGCTAAATTTGATTGTCCAAACACTCAAAAAGCCATTGAGCTTCTGGCAGAGGAGCATCTGGGAACTCCAACCCACATCATCATCCACACTGGCTCCAGTCAGCTGAGGCAAGAGCAGGACAGACTGTCAGAATCTCTGAAAGGAGTCATAGAGAAAGCTTCCAACACTTTCCCCGAGAGCAGAGTGGTCATGTCAGCCCTGCTTCCAATGAAAAACATGCACTGTGACACCATCAACAAGATCAACAGCAGACTAGAAAAAGAGTGTGAGAAGCTGCCCAATGTCCACTTCGCCAAACACCCTACCATAAACATAAATTGTCTTTATGATAAAGTCCATCTGTTGAAAGACAAAGTCCGCATTTTTGCCCGGACACTAAAGGACGTGGCTCTCGACAGATACCCATCCACATACCAAACAACTGTACCAGGAAGAAGCAGCTCAACATATATTCAACAACAATAAAGATGTAATTTTAATTGTAATTGTTCCCAAAACCTAGTTTTAGTTTGCTATAACAACCTTGGTACAGATTTATTCAAACCAACTTTGTCATCACAAGAAATTGTAATAGTGAACTTCTCAGTTTGTGAGTCTGTGTCTTTGAAAAATAAATTGTATTTTTGTTCCATATTTAAGTTTATCTGCTTAAAATCTTGTTGTTGTTTTTTGTCTTACCAAAGCTGTTTAATATATGCTCAAAAATGTTGTTAGTCTGATTGTGATGTATTCAAGTTAGAGACTAAATATTATACAGATTGTGAACTGACAGCATCCACATGCCAGCCATAGGAGACAGACTTCTGTAAAAATTCA